AAAATTCTCTGTAGTCTTCTTTCCATTAATATTTACATGTTTGATTTCAAGTTTCTTGCCTAAGATCTCCAACATGAAGTGTGAAATGGTGGTAGAAGATAGTCGGCAGTCTTCCCTTGCTTCTGACTTTTTAAAAAAGAGGTCTCACTCTATAGCCCAGGCTGGTGTCAACCTCTTGGCAAGCCTCAGTTAGTCTTCTGAGTGATGGGATGATAGGTTTAGATTCTTTCTATTTATGTATGCATATATACATATATGTATATAAAGTCAGGGTCTGTCTATGTAGCTCCGGCTGCCCTGGAACTCACTAAGTAGACCTGGCTGACCTCACACTCACAAAGATCTGCCTGCGCCTGCCTCCCAAGGGCTGGGATTAAATTTATGCACCACCACACCTAGTCCTGAACATTAGATTTAAGTTGCGTTTATGTCTGTTTATTTGTGTGTGTGTGTGTGTGTGTGTATGTGTGTGTGTGCACTCATGTCCTGGTGTACATTTGGAAGCCAGAGGACAATGTGTAGAAGCAGAGTAGGGCCTACGGTGTGGGTCCTAGGGAATCAAACACAAGCCTTCAGGCTTGGAGGCAAGCACCTTTACCTGCTGAGAAATCTTGCTGGCCCTTGACCCTTAAAGGAATGCTCTGACATTTAAGTGTAGTGTTTACTATATGGGTGTTTTGGGTAGTAATCTATATCAATGACCATTACCACAAGAGTGCCATGTAACAGGCTATATCAAATCTCAGTGATGTAGCCGGCCATAGTGGTGCATACCTGTAATTATAATTACTTGGAAGATAGAAGCAGGCAAATAGGAGTTCAAGGCCAGTCACAACCACATAGTGAGCAGGAGACCATGTGAAACTCTGTTTCAAAAATTAAACCAGGGGCTGGAGAGTTGACTTAGTGATTAAAAGCACATGTTCTTGCAAAGGACTGGGGTTCAATTCCCAGCACCCATGTGGAGGTCAAAAACCTCCTCAGGAAGCAGGCATGCATGTGGTCCACAGACAGACATACATGCAGGCAAAGCACTCACACACAGCAGATAACAAACTAAACTACAAACAAAACCTAAACCAATCAAAACAAAACACCCCTGTCCCAAACAGTGCTACAAGACAACAACTACTCTTACAAGTCTGGGGTGACTGAGGTTCGCTTTCTAATGTGAGGTTTGTTTCGGGGTGCTGCCCTCTTTCCACCTCCCTCCATTTCCCTCCTAGACCAGCCTGGGCATGGTGATGAGCACGGTGATGGGAAGAAAGGACAGGAACACCAGCGGATCTGTGGGAGCCTCTGGCTTGCCAACTTGATCGCATTTAAAGACACCTAGGAACTCACTAGAGTACACAGCTAGATGCGCCAGTGAGCGTGTTTCCAGCGTTAGACCCTGAGGGCTCCTCTCCAAACAGTGCTCTAGCCCACTGAGAGATTTGAAAGTCGAGTTCACCACTGGGAGGTGTTGAGTTGTGCAAGGTGGAGCCGGGAGGAAGCAGGAGCTGACTCCTTGTTTCTGCCCCTTCCTCTTAGCGGTTCTGCTCCAGCAGAGCTGCACCCCTGCTGTCGGCTGCTCCTCCAGCCACTCCCTGCCACGATGGGCTGAGGTCTGTGAAATTATGAACAGAAGAAATTCTTTCTCCATTGTGTTGTTCCTGCCAGATATTTGGGGAAAGTCTACAGGAAGGTGCTTTTGGTGTGTCTGGTTCACATCATGCCTGCCCAAATTCCAGTATTCCAAGTTAAGTTCAAAATAGAGCCAGGCGGTGGTGGCGCACACCTTTAATCCCAGCACTCGGGAGGCAGAGGCAGGCGGATCTCTGTGAGTTTGAGGCCAGCCTGGTCTATAAGAGCTAGCTCCAGGACAGGCTCCAAAGCTACAGAGAAACTCTGCCTCGAAAAACAAAAACAAAACAAAACAAAAAAGTTCAAAACAGAGAGATCATAGTCTAAACAATGACATAGGAGGTTGTTTTCTAACGTTAAACCGAACACAGCACTTACATACAGATAAGTACAGTTCTATGCTATTTAGTAACTTCTTGGGGGATGTTTTAGGAATTACAATCATAGTCAAACTGTTGAAGGGTAAATACAAGACCTTGTAAATCGTCAAATAACTCTGATGTATCTTGTATGCCAAATATGTACATGGATGTTCATGCTTGTATCTTGTATCCTGAGTATGTACATGGATGTCCATGCTTGTATCTTGTATGCTGAATATGTACATGGATGAACATGCTTGTGTCCTGAATATGTACATGGATGCACATGCTTGTATCTTGTATCCTGAGTATGTACATGGATGTCCATGCTTGTATCTTGTATGCTGAATATGTACATGGATGTCCATGCTTGTATCTTGTATCCTAAGTATGTACATGGATGTCCATGTTTGTATCTTGTATCCTGAGTATGTACATGGATGTCCATTTTTGTATCTTGTATCCTGAGTATGTACATGGATGTCCATGTTTGTATCTTGTATCCTGAGTATGTACATGGATGTCCATGCTTGTATCTTGTATCCTGAGTATGTACATGGATGTCCATGCTTGTATCTTGTATGCTGAATATGTACATGGATGTCCATGCTTGTATCTTGTATCCTGAGTATGTACATGGATGTCCATGCTTGTATCTTGTATGCTGAATATGTACATGGATGTCCATGCTTGTATCTTGTATCCTGAGTATGTACATGGATGTCCATGCTTGTATCTTGTATGCTGAATATGTACATGGATGTCCATGCTTGTATCTTGTATCCTGAGTATGTACATGGATGTCCATGCTTGTATCTTGTATGCTGAATATGTACATGGATGTCCATGCTTGTATCTTGTATCCTGAGTATGTACATGGATGTCCATGCTTGTATCTTGTATGCTGAATATGTACATGGATGTCCATGCTTGTATCTTGTATCCTGAGTATGTACATGGATGCACATGCTTGTGCTGGCTAGTTTCTTGTCCACTTGACACACACTAGAGTAATCTGAGAGGACGGAACCTCAATTGAGAAGATGCCTCCATAGGATGGGGACATGGGCAAGTCTCTAGGACATTTTCTTTCTTTTTTTTTTTTAAGATTTTATTTATTTATTATGTATACAGTATTCTCAGTATTCTGTCTGAAGGTATGTCTTCAGGCCAGAAGAGGGCACCAGATCTCATTGCAGATGGTTGTGAGCCACCATGTGGTTGCTGGGAATTGAACTCAGGACCTTTGGAAGAGCAGGCAGTGCTCTTAACCACTGAGCCATCTCTCCAGCCCCTCTAGGGCATTTTCTTTCTTTCTTTTTTTTTAAATATTTATTTATTTATTATGTATACAATATTCTGTCAGTGTGTATGCCTGCAGGCTAGGGCATTTTCTTAATTAGATGGGAAGAGCCCAGCCCATTGTAGATGATTCCATCCCTGGGATGTTGGTCCTGGGTTCTATAAGAAAGCAGGCTGAGCAAGCCATTAGGAGAAGCCAGTAAACAGTTCCCCTCCATGGCCTCTGTGTCAGCTCGTGCCTCCAGCTTCCTGTCCTGTTTGAGTTCCGGTCTTTGCTTCCCTCAGTGGACCATGATTCACGTTATGTAAGCTAAATAAACCCTTTCCTTTGCTCCGGTCATGGTGTTTCATCACAGCAATAGCAACCCTAACTAAGACAATGCTAAGGATGGCTTCTCAGGACAGAGAAGTATGTTTAACTTTTTGAGAAAACGTTGAACTTTTTTGACCATTGAAATACAGGGCCTTGCCAGATTGTAATAGGGAGGCAGAGGCAGGCGGATCTCTGAGTTCAAGGCCAGCCTGGTCTACAGAGTGAGTTCCAGGGCAGCCTGGTCTACAGAGTGAGTTCCAGGGCAGCCAGGGCTACACAGAGAAACCCTGATAAATATCTGGAACAACTGATAATTTTCTAAAGGTTCTGTGGATTTGATTCTGTCTTTGTTTCTGGTCATAATTTTGGCCCTTCAGTGTGTCCTTTAATTTTAGTGCAGGATAAGTAAGCCATGGGAGTTTAAATGCATCTTTCATCGTAATTGCCAAACAAATAACCAATGAATATTGATTATTGTGGATTTGAAGAATGTTATAAATGTAAAACAGGCAGATATTGTACCATTTTCTTTCCTTTGATATGTCTAGATACCACTGTTTCTGTTCATTTCTTCTTTTTTTCCTTTTGGGTATTGGGGATGAACCTGGAGTCTCATCCATGTTAGGGAAATGCTCTACTCTTGAACTGCACCCCTGGACCACTTTTTACATTTTCCATTTTGAGACAGGGTCTCACTGTGTAGCCCAGGCTGACCTGATTCTTGTGATCTGGCCTCCTGAGTAGCTGGGATTACAACCCTGCACCAATAATCCTGGCTGATTAAGTAGTTCCCTCCACTCTGGACCACAAACAGAGTTGCATCTGTGAGGGTCAAATCTGAACTCAACTAAGACCACCCCTCTTATGCCTTCTCCATGAGCCCAAGTTCCAGATGAGTTGAACTCCACCCTGGGTATGACTGATGACAGCCACTAACCACATGGCTAGTGACAGCGACTGACCACATGTCTCACCCACGCCTGATGTATTTTTAACTACTTTACTCTTCAACTCTGTACTTCCCTCACCGTAACCAATGAGGTTAAATGTCAGTTACCCCAAGACCCTCTGACCAGGCTGTGAGCCACCTGGGGTTTCCCTTGTGGTTTTCCCTAATGTAAACATTAATCTGTAAATGCTCAAGCCTGCTTTCCTCCACCCGCTAGGCCAGAGTGCTGGACAGTGGACCAAGTTCAAGCTTGAAATCAATTAAACTCCTTTGTGTTTGCATCAGATACCGGCTCTGTGGTGGTCTTGTTTGGGGGTCTCGTGTCGCGGATACATCAGTATCATTTTTGGAGTCTGACTCTTATCACTGACCTGTTTAGTGTGATGTATTATAACACACAGTATGAAAACACCGTTCCAAAGAGAAGCTGGGATTTTGACAGCAGCGCATCTACCTTGTCTCGTGTCATCTGGGGTAAGCACCTGAAATCTATGCTATTATTCTCTGTTCTGTTTAAAACAGTTTTATTTTATCTATGGTATTTTTTTAAACAGCCCACCTATGCTGACCTTGAACTTGCTGTGTAGTTAAGGATGTTAAGGGTGGTCTTACACTCCTGATTCTTTAGTCTCTAAGTCTCTATTTCTCTCCCCTTCTTCTTCCTTTTTTTTTTTTTTTTTTTTTGATACAAGGTTTCTCTGTAGCTATGAAGCCTGTCCTGGAACTAACTAGCTCTTGTAGACCAGCCTGACCTTGAACTCACAGAGATCCTCGGCCTCCGCCTGAAAGGAGTGCGCCACCACCGCCCGACTGTTTCTGCTTTTTAAAAACATTTGCAGTGCTAATGATTTGACCTAGGGCCTGTACACACAAAGTAGGTGACCCGCCACTGAGCCACACGGCTTAAGCGTGTGGTCTCACTTCACTGGTACCCCGATTCTATCTGGGGCAGTCTCTACAGCAGAAAAATTGATCTCTAGCCCGAGCCTGTGACCAGCAGTTCAAGGTCACCCTCAGCTACACAGTGTGAGGTTAGTCTAGGCTACAGGAGACTATCTTCAGTCTCCACGCCCCCTGAGAAAAAACACCCTTGTTTTAATCCTTAGCTTTGAATCTAACCTTTCCAGTTCTCAATTTCATACTTTCTCCTAAACCCTTTCTGTTGTGATTTAGAAAAAGCAGCACGTGAGAGAAAGACACCGTGTGTCAGAGCTCAGGTAGAGGGTTTTTATGGGGGGGTGTGAATGGGAAAAGCGGGGAAGGAGACCGGCCTCGGGAGACAGGAGCGGCAGGAGAGAAGGGAGAGATTGAGAGTCCGACAGACAGAGAGAAAGAGGGAGAGATGGGAGGTGGGCAGGGCCCTTTTAAAGAGGAACACAGTGAATGTGCACAGGAGTCTTGCATTGGAAAAATAAACACCTGTATATGTTGATTTGGGCTTCAGAGTGGGCGGGGTAAACAGTGCCACCTGCAGCTGTGAGAGGGGACAGTGACTCAGTCGAACCCAGAGGCCTGTGGAACTCCCATTCGGTCTCCTAGAGGCCTCTCTACACAAACCCCAGCTCTTTCCACAAGCCTCCTGGGGCACCAGACACCTCTCTTCAGCCAGGGAGGACCTTAAGCAGGAAGTCTTCAGACACAGAGCTGAATGGTCTCTCTCATCCCCTCACCTCCCACCTAGCAGCTTTCTTAGGGTGCAGTGAAGCAGGTGTACCCCTCAGTTTCTGCCTTGCCCCACATGACAGGATGGCATTAGTCCCAGGGCAGACCAAGAAGTCTGCTCCTCTCTGGCTCTGCTGGCTTTGCCCAGGCAATCTCCACACCAGTACCTCCCTTCTCCACCTTCAGCCCCACCCCTTCCTCTGGCTCCATAGCCCTGGACACAGTACACATGGCCCAGAGTCCCCTCCTGGAAGGGAAATAAAAGGAACTGTTCGGGTTTCCATGGCTGTGGTCAACACCGACATCCCAGGACTCAGCCCTCGGAATCCTCACTATATTCCAGGGTAAGCCTTCCCACAGCGCTCTTCTGCCTGCTTTGGGGAACAGGGGTTTGGGGATGGGAGTTGGTTCACTTAGACCCTGGGTCAAGCTGACATCTTGGTTTGAGAACGGGGGTACCTGTGGTGTTGTATGGAAAGGGGAACAGGGGCACAGAATAGCTGGGTCTAACCAAGGTTTGTGTTGTCTTCTCCACAGAAACGGGGTAGAAGCAGGGCGGGAGGATTGCAAACCCAGGCAGGGGGCCTGGAAACGCTGGGGGGGGGGGCAAGTAGCAGCTTTAGTGGTTTAATGCTAACCTAGCATGCACAAGGCTCTAGGTTCAGTCTCCAGTAGGGAAAACAAACGAACGAAAACGACCTATAGACTAAAGCTGGGGGTGAGGGGTGGTTGGTACCTGCCTGATCCCAGCAGGGGGTGGGGCGCAGAAGGAACAGAAGGAGTTTGGTCAGCCTGGGCCACAGCGACCCTGTCTATAAAGAAACACACAGAGCGGGAAACAAACACTGGCTCCAAGTACAGAACAAGAGCAGTGTTTTGTGCCTGTGTCAGGATGACGGTGACAGTCGTGGAGCTAAGGGGCCGGTCCTGTGCTTCAGGTACACTGGACATTGCCCACTGCTTCGGTACAGCATGGGCCAGACCTACGGGCAGGTGACTGGTCAGCTCCTTCGAGGCCCTCCTGGCCTAGCCTGGCCTCCTGCTCACCGCAAGCTTCTGCCTCCCATCCAGTCTCCAAGATCTCCTGGGATTTCCAGGGGAAGGCTACCTCCCAGGCGCGGGCATGAAAGGCTCAGCTCCAGCATAGTCCCTGGGTATACAGGTCTGTATGGCGGCCTGAACGGGGTCCCCTCCCCACAGGGTGTGTCCTGAACACCATTCTCTCTGCTAGGTTTTATACCGCAGGCACAGTTCATGTTTGCCAAGAACTGCAACCAGGTTTGGGCTGAAGCTATGAATAACTTTACACAAAGGCAGGGGCAGCAGGAGAGTCATGAGCTGTCAAAGGAGGCCAGGGGAGGAAAAGAGGCTGAGAAAGACCAAGGACCCCAGGCAGAGGAGCCCGAGCTGAAGCAGGAGGTGGCCCAAGTGAGCTGGGGAAGGCTAGTGATGGGGGCGGGAGTCTATGGACATGGGGATTGGCTGCCAGCTCTGTCTCCTGGGAGCCTGAACTTAGCTCTGTCTCCTGGGAGCCTGAACTTAGAATCCTATTTTTCTTTCATTAACATCTCTTGTTAGACGTCCCCGTACTCCATGGATGACACAGATCCCCAGAAATTCTTCATGTCAGGTGAGTGGACGTGGGTAACGACCAAAGGCATGGGGAGATCCCCAGGATGTCTTGACTCAGCATCTCCCCCTACTCCCAGGCTTCACTGGCTACGTGCCCCGTGCCCGCTTCCTCTTTGGCTCCAGCTTTCCCGTGCTCACCAACCAGGCACTGCAGGAATTTGGGCAGAAGTGCTCAAAGGGCAGAGTGCAGAAGGATCCCAAACCTCTTTCTCCGCTCCCCAGGCCCAACTTCCAGAACCTGGGTCTCCTTCCTCACTATGGAGGCTATGTGCCAGGTGAGAGGCTTTGGAGGTGGGGGTGGGGTGGAGGGGGTGGTTTGGGGAACTGGAATAAACAGATAAGGAGGATGTCAGGTTCTGTGATTTAGCTTTAGAGAGGAAACCGAGGCACTCAGAGAGAGGTGAGAGCAGATTTCAGAGGGCGGTTTGGAGTCCACGCAGCTGGCTGGGAATTAGATGGAATTTTCATGCCTCTGCCTACACATGACAGACTCTCTTGGCCACACAGGGTATAAGTTCCAGTTTGGTGGGACATTTGGGCACCTCACCCATGATGCTCTGGGCCTCAGCACCACTCAGAAACAGCTCCTGGCTTAAGTACCAGGATTTCAAGGTCTCTCTTTTTGTCCTATCCTGGCGATCTTTTTGGAAGGAAGAGAGGCAGGTAGGGGGAGGGGCACAAAGAAAACAGTTTGGAGGCTGAGCACCTTTTTATTAATAGGCGTAATAAATAAATAAATAAATACATACATAAACAGAAGCCTGAGCTCCTCCTCCTATTCTGACGACCAGGCACTGGTCACTGTCTGTTTACAGCATGGGGGGCTCGGGGCTTGGGCCCCAATACTGTTTATCCATCCTCATTGTCACTCGGCCTAGTAAACCCACAAATGGCCTCTGGGCCACCTCCCTCCAGAGACTTGTCTACACCCACGGAAGTATTGGCCCAGATGGGCCAGGAAAGATCTTGGCAGCCCAGCGCTGTGTCCTCCCCTCCTCTCCTGAGTGGAGGTCTGGACAGAGTCGCCGGGAAGGTTGAGGAGGAGTAATTAATACTGAGCACGGGGAGCAGGTGCCAGCACAGGGGTACGTGGCCCCGGCTCTCAGTCTACTTTTTGCAGCCAAGCCTAAGGGCTTGGGAAGAACTCTCGGACTCTTGAGTCTTGGGGATATCAGGGTCCCTGAGGCCACCAGCATGCATAAGGCCTCAGTTCTGGCTGCTTCCAGGTGGTGAACTTGGAGTTGGAGTCAATGTCACATAGGCCAGAGGTACCAAGCCTGTGTCAGGGCCCCGGCTGCAATGCAGCCAGTCTCCTCCGGCTGGTCCCAGCACCCGCAGGACATCGCCTTTGTGGAAGCTCAGTTGTCCAGGGCCTGTGGCCAGATGGTGGCACAGCGCCTGCACCTCGCTGGAGAAACAACGAACGGAGGTCAGAGAAGGCCTCTGAGAAGCCGGTCAAGCTCCCCAATACTTCATTCCCCTGGGCGTACCACGGAGGTTTGGAGGGCAGGGCTGGAGACTGTGACTCTTGCAGGTTCTCCCTGGGCTCCGGCTCCCGACGGGACCCCATTGTCTGTGCTACCAGCTGGAACACAGACCTGTCCAGGCTCAGCCAGTCTGAAGGCAGCCTAAGGGGGAGGAGACAGATTCGGGTTCTGCCTGTGTCCAGATTTAGACCAGGCTTGCCACACCACCGTCTATGCCAGCAGCTCTCACCTGTTTGCAGGCCGGGCTTCCCGCTGAGCTTTCCGAGAACCAAAGAGGTGTCCCCATTTGATGCCTCCGGAGGAAGGCTCCGTCCCCTCTTCATTTTCTGTTGGTGGCGCAACAGGCCCTTCCCTCTCTCGACTCCGCCTCAGCTCAGCTAGCACGGAGTCAGGGGGGCTCCCCATCCAGAAAGGCCAGCCCCTTTCTTGGCCAAGGGCCTCTTCGGGGGCAGGACAGGCCTCAGCCCCCTCTACTACACCTTCCCGTGGTGGTGGAGCCTGAGAAGGCCCCCCACTGCCTACCCCTTTCTTTTTCTCACTGCCAGCGCTGCTACTGCGAGGGAACCGAGAGCCCTCGGTAGCACCATCGATGTAGACCTGGGAGCTCTGCATGAGCTGGTACCACCAGCCCGCCTGACCCCCTCGGGTCCACCTGGCGTGCTCGGAGCTCCCCCCGGCCACAACCGCCTCTTCCGTGTCTTCCTCATCCTCTTCTCCACCTTCTGAGGCGCCCACACCCTTCACCCTCTCCCCAGGGCCCTCCTGGCCTCGGGCCCGGGCCAGCTGCAGTGTCGAGTGTGCAGAGAGCAGCAGGTCCTGGGACACGCGCAGCAGCTCCTTGTGCTGCCGCTGCTGCTGCCCGCTCTGCAGCAGCCGGTGCTGGAACAGCACGTCAAGGCTGAAGGGCAGCAGGGCTAACGGCTGGAGCAGCAGCAGCAGCTCCTCGAAGAGGCCAGGGCACACTGTGTGAGCAGCGCGCAGGAAGCCCCAGGGCTGGTAATGGGTCTGGATGATATCTAGGGAAAGAGAGGGAGACGTCACGCACAGAAGTGGGACCTGGTCTGAGAGGGACATGGCGAGGTCTGCATGCTTCTGCATAGGCTGTGCTCCACTTCAGTTCACACGAAGCCAGCGGCAGCGTGCAGTGCATGCATCTGTCACCTAAAGCGGCAGCTCTGAGGTCAGAGGTCAGAGAGAAATGCTGGGGCTCGCGGCCACCCTAGCTGTTAGACCGCCTAAGTCTGCTGGGACCTCCATGGCTCTGGGTCAAGGAGAAGCCCCAGACTCTGAGAATGAAAGTGTGGGTGGGCCTCCCCTCCCTTCCCCTCCCTTCCCCTCCCCTCCCCCTCTAGCTGGTGAGTGGGAGCAGGCTGTGGCTTTACCTTCATGGTTGTACAGGTGATTAAACCAGAACTCCAGGGACCGGATGCTGGAGAGGGAGAGGTGAAAGGTTAAGTCTCACATGAACACAGTCAGACAACGCAGGAGGTCAGATACAGGGAGGAAATACAGATGGACATTTATGGCTGGCTGCTGCCGGTTCACCTTGTAATGTAATTCTGGAAAGTCACTGAGGGTGTGGGGAGTGGGGCGGACATGGAATTCACAAGTCAGTCGTTTCTTCTTGGAATGGGGCAGCAGTGACTGCTGAGTGAGGACAGGCTGCTCTGGGCCAAAGGTAAAGACCGGGCTGATAGGTGGGACATGCTACTCTATGGCATGCTCTGAGGCGGGATTTAGAAGCAGAGCTGGGATTGAGAGGATCACAGTTTGCACGACCCTGAACACTGAGAAACCAGCTAGTTTCTAAACAGGCCAGGCCATGGGCCTGTGAAAGTGGACGGGCTTGTGGGTGTGTACAGAGGAAGAAAGCAGGGCCTGCCGAGAGGCTGCAGTGAGGTGGGGTAAAGGCATGCTGAGGCCTTGCATAAACACTGCCTCATTCCCAGCAGCCGGCCCTTTAGAGGATGCAGAGCTGTAGTGGTGCTAGCTGCTTAGACCCTGCGTCCTACACACTTACTTGAGCAGGCCGAGGATGAAGGCGTTGAAGCGCATAGTGTGGCTGGTGAGTTCTGGGAACTGGCTGACTTTGTTGTAGAGACCATGCAGGACCTTGGTGGATGGGCCTGTGAAGGAGACAGGGTTGGAGATCCATTTCTAGTCTCTGGAGCTCTGAATTCAGCCTGGAGCCCAGAGTCGCAGTCCGGCCCCTACCTAGCTGAGTGGAAGCCTCCACCACACTCCAAGGCGTGTTCTTTCGCTGTCCAATGATCACGTCTAGAACAAAGGCCTTGAGCCCGTCCTCCAGCACGGCTTGGACGGCAGGGCACAGGTACTTCAGAACCAGGTGGCCCACATTGGGGCTCACAGAGCTGTTCCCCAGCTTTGCCTGCAGATCACAGGACAACATGAGGAGCCTGACCTGGTTCTCACTTAGCCAGCCCCCCCCCCCACACACACACATAGTTTCCTCTGGCCATCTCCATCCCTGGATACAAACAGCAGAGTCTGTAGGGCACAGCTCAGCTCTTCAGAGCTCCAGCCTACCTTGACCCCAGGATCCCGGCTTGTGCCAAAATGGGCCACGATCAGGTCCACGGCAGTGTTGACAGCTTTCACCAGCCCTGCGGGGAAGGAGCTGGGGTGACTGTGCTGGTCTCAAGACTCTGGGAGGCTGACCATCTGTATCCACTGTCCATGCTCTACCCACAGAGGGCTCTCCCCGCCCTCTACCCTTTATGTCTCACTTGCTACAAGGAGCTGCGGCTTCTCCTTTGCCAGCCCTGCCCTTTGCCCACACTTATGCTTGGTTCCTTCCCCAGCATCTCCCTAATGTTGCCCAGAGGTCACTGGTCGCTGCTAACAGCGTGTTCCTGTCCTCGTCTTCTCAGATGGCACCAACGTGTGCACCCAGGTGGCCATACCTTCAGCACTTAGGGACTTTTTTGTTTGTTTGGAGTTTGAGGTGGTCTCACTGTGTTACCCGGGCTGGCCTTGAACTCAGATCCACCTGCCCCTGCCTCCCACCACACCAGACTCCTGTGAATTTTTAGAAACTATGGATCAGTCTCTCTCATTGCTGAAGGAAGGGCTGGAGCTGATTCTCAGGTTCCTGACATATGACCCTCGTCTCTCTCATTGCCGAAGGAAGGGCTGGAGCCGATTCTCAGGTTCCTGACATACGACCCTCGCGCAGTACGCCACACAATCTTCTAACACCCTAACACCCACAGATTCCTTCTGGAGGGTTAGCCAGGGCACCAGGCACAGTGCATAGTGAGAGCAGAACCCCTGGACCAGGCTGGTGTTGATACAAACCTTTCTTCTGAAGTACGTCAATGGAAATGGCCTCTGAGCTGCCATCTGGAGACAGACAAAACTCAGCTGGAGGCTTCTCAGTTAAGGAGAAGGGGTCCTGGAGGTCAGGGCAGATCAGTGGTAATGGCTTTGCTACCTGACCTGAAAAGGAAAGAAAAACCTTATCCTGAAGCTCATCCCGAGAGTTCAGCTGGGTGTCCTCCACCCTCTTGACTGACCCCTTTCCAAGCCCATCCCAGCCTGTCCTGGGATACCAGGGACCGCGGCCACGCACCGTTCAGCCGGTAATTCAGATGGCTGGCAGGGCCAAAAGAACTGGGGAACTCAAAGATGGGGTTCCTGCGGGCCAGCCGAGCTTCCTGTGGCCTTCGATCTAGGCTTCCTGACAAACCGGGTGGTCCTAATGGGTTCTTCCTCCTGTATTCCCGCCACTTGAGGGCTTGAGGGGATAGGTGGTTGGCTGGGGACAGAACAGGCAGGAGGCAAAGTTAGGAGATGGCATTTCATATCCACCCAGGGGCCCATATAAAATGCTAGGGTTGAGAAGATGTGGCAAATACGCCAGACGCTGTGGGTGTGACCCGCACTGAACACATAAGAAGCCATTCAAAGGAGTGGGAGGATTGGGCTACAGATGAAGCTCATACCATTGTTGGGCCTGGAGGCCATGCTGCCCTCACCACCTCCTCGAGCCAGGCTCTCTGCCCGGGAAAAGCCAGATCTCCAGGAGCCCAGAGGTGGCAAGCTTCCTGTGCCATGAAGCCGGTACTCAGTCAAGGTTGGAATCTTCTGGTCCTCCTTCAGTGGCTGCTGGGAGGCGGCAGGCCGCATGGAAGGACGAGGGTGGCTCCATGCGGGGAGACCTTCTGCTGCTGTGGCCTGCTCTGGAGGAGGGGAGCAGGAGGTAGAGGTGGACGAATCAGTGCTGGGCCCAAAGGGGCCGGCACTCCGGACAGGGGAGTAGCTTCCCAGGGGTGACGGCCTTGAGGTCTCCGGCTCAGGCCCAGCTTTTCTGGCACCCCTGCCGGAGGTCTGGGGTGTGAATGGCTGTGGCTCTCCGGAGGGAGCTGGAGCTGGGCCTTGAGTGGTGGGGATAACCAGTGAGGCAGGCTGCTGCTGCTGCTGCGCACGGCTGCAGCCCGAGAGACTGTAGAGCTGGGAGAGGCTGTGGAGGGCACGGGCCTTGGCCAGCTGCTTGGGGAAGTGATGCTGGAACACGAAGGGCTGGATAGGCAGCGTGGTCGGCCTCTGCTCCTTGCTGTAGCGAAGCACTGGTCGGCTCTCAGTGCCACCCCCTGCAGCAACAGGACGGAGAAGGACTGAGCCAGAGGGAACACCAAGAGCAGCCATATGATACCCGATGGAAAGGTGGGCAAGCCTGGGCTGCTGGACCCACACTGGTGGAGGGGGCACTGCTCCTTCTTGTAAGACCTTCCCTATCTGTTATGGTCTGGACTGCCTTCTGCCTCTCCACTTTCTGATCTCCAAAGGTCTTAGGGTGTGTCAGAGGCCCAGACCTTTCCTCACACTGAACATGCTCTCCCTTGCAAAGGGAGCTGGATTTCAGACTTTCACGCAGATGCCCAAGCTCCCAGCACTAAGTTCATCTCCTTATCTCAGATCATCTTGCCACGGGCTTTGCTTTCATTTTAAACAAAAACAGCCTCGCTAGAAAGACAGTCCCCAAACCATGTCCTGGGAGACACTCGGACCCTACCCCATTCACCTATCAGCTTCTCTGTGTCCGGGTAGACACTCGGACCCTACCCCATTCACCTATCAGCTTCTCTGTGTCCGGGTAGACACTTGGACCCTACCGCCATCCACTTACTAGCTTCTCTGTGTCCGGGTAGACACTCAGACCCTACCACCATCCACCCATCAGCTTCTCTGTGTCCGGGAAGACACTCAGACCCTACCGCCATCCACCCATCAGCTTCTCCGTGTCCTGGGAGACACTCAGACCCTACCGCCATCCACCCATCAGCTTCTCCGTGTCCTGGGAGACACTCAGACCCTACCGCCATCCACCCATCAGGTTCTCCGTGTCCGGGTAGACACTCGGACCCTACCGCCACCCACCTATCAGCTCAGCCCATTTATCCTGATGCCTCCATTCTCTCGATGGTGGGAAGGCTCACAGACTGTAAGCGTCGCAGACTCGGTGTCAAGATGCTGCTGACGTCAAGCTCTCACCCGTCTCCACTCAGTTTGCTTACATACTCCATTTCTGAGCACACAGCAGCAAGACACTTAGACTTGCTATGATGCTCTGCACCCACTTTCTCGCTTTTCCATGATCCCCTAAGAACCTCAGTGTCCATGTGTATTCTTCCTGCACAGGAATGTGCTCCCCAACCCTGGGGCCCCTTCCAGGTCAGTGTGCCTGAGTTGGTCCAGAGCAACTGCAGGGGTCACAGCAGATGCTGCAGATATCTGAATGAACACAAGATGGCGCCATAACCCTTACAGGACCTAAAACCCTGGGCGTGGCTCAACCACTATAAGAGGCAGGACTTCTCCACAGATCAAGAATTTTTTCCCTTTTTTTTTGAGACAGGATCTCATGTAGTTCAGGCTTATTTGGATCTTGCTTTGTAGCCAAGATTGGCCTTGGATTTCTGACCCTCCTGTCTCAACCTCCAAGTGCTGGCACTATAGGTATGAGCCACCTGCCACACATAGATCAGGAAATTTTAAAATTAGAGACATTAAGTCATCGTCCCAGGTTAAGATCACTCAGCTAGGAAATGGCAAGCCAGACTCTGGCTCTGGGGCCATGTGCTCCACCACATCACACATGCGTGAACCAGGCTGGGCTTGCCGTGCGTCTTTCTTATTTACATCGATGAGTCATGAGGGAACACAGCCTCAGAGAAGCGTTCAGAATCCTGCCGAGAGACCACTGTGCTCTTCTCCTTGCTGTGTTAGCCAAACTCCATCCAGTCCTTCACCACAGCACACTCGCAGCCATCCTGCTGTCCCGTCTGCCCGAGATCTCATCCCCATACTTCCCGCCCAGCCCCCTGGCCAAGGAGCCCTCTGACCTGGTCTCATTTCGTCTGTAAAGCATGGGAAGTTTCTTTCTCCAAGTGCTTGCGCTGTAACTCTTCACAGCGGCCCAGCAAAGTGGGGGCCAAATCCCTACTGGTCATTGTATCTCCAGGGTCCAGGAAATGAACAGTTAAATGAATGAATCTCTACTTCTGATTCAGTCCAGTCTCCTCTGTCTCAAAACACCTTTTATAAACCTAGTTTCTTAAAAAATTAATGTGTCTTATCTTCCGTGGTTAGTGCTCAAAGAATAAAGATGAGGTTCTCAGGCATAGCTACACCATAGATTGGGTAGCCATTCTGACTCTCCTCTCCCAACCAGGGGCTGAATCTAGTCCCTGCTGTACTAGGCCAAGGGCTGTCCTGACCTTATCCCCCCCTCTTCCTTCAGCCCCATTTTTAAGTACGGCTTTCTCCATTAGGGGTGCCTTCCTTCCACTATCACACTTCAAGGCTGACTGGGTCTTCTCAGCTTTATTACAACAAGAGCTTTATCAGCACCCATTTAAAGGATATCCAGGGGCTGGAGAGATGGCTCAGTGGTTGGGAGCACTGTCTGCTCTTCTGGAGGTCCTGGGTTCAATTCCCAGCAACCACATGGTGGCTCACAACCATCTGTAATGAGGTCTGGTGCCCTCTTCTGGTCTGAAGGCATACATGCAGACAGAATACTGTATACGTAATAAATAATAAAAATTAAAAAAATAAATAAATAAATAAATCTTTAAAAAAATAAAATAAAATAAAGGATATCCAGACTATCTATCCAGTCCTAGTAAAGCATATCAGGACTGTCTATCTAGTCCTAGTAAAGCATATCTGGACTATATACCTAGTCCTACCCTCTAAGGAAACACTGTCCTCTGCAGGGGTATCTGAAATTGAAGCTAGCCTGGGCTACATGGGGAGATCCTATTCCCAAAACCAAAATCCTTCCTGTTATTCCCAATATATGGTATGAGGCAGAAGAATAAGATTAATTTAGAAGGGAGATCACCTTGAGGAATGAACGGGTGTTAGTTTTACCCCTGGGACCCAAAACAAGTTCTCTCACTTTCCTATGAGAGGATTCTTAAGAAAATCCTAGGCAGAGATCACGCCACATGTCGTGTACCTGGGAGAAGCAGCCCTAGTTCCTTAGTTCCTTCTTAAAATGTCGCCTGCAGAGCTCCATGGGAAGCGAGTGTTCAGGCTTTCAAAGCAGGGGTGGGCTGTCCCTGCAATCCCCTAGCCCGTCAAGTGACCTTTGTGCAGGGCTTTTCGAAACTGCTGACTCATGGGTCTGCAATCAGTTACTGGCCCAAAATCAACTCAAGGAGACTTTACAAATCAAATTTCACTTTGTCCTCTGCTTTATTAGTTTTGTTCTATCAAGATTTGACAAGCTCCTTTACTAAATGTGGACCCTGCTGCTCAGGTTCTGGGGGGGGGGGCATTTCAGCTTCTTCCTGGGTCATCCATGCATTGGATGGACTGTTGGTTCAGATTTTAAGAAGCATGTGCACAGTCAAGAGAACCTGTGGCATTTCACTGGAGATTATGGGACAACACACGACTTTGATACAAAGGTTGTATGGGGACTGGGGACAGAGCTCAGTTGGTAGAGTGCTTGCCTTGGAAGGCAGGAAGCCCTGGCCCGTCCTGAGAACCGAATAAATCTAGAGGCTCATTCCCATGATCCCAGCAGGAGGTGGAGGCAGCAGAATCAGAAACTCAAGGTTGTCCTTGGCTACACAGCTAGAGGCCAATCTGGGATGGAGAAGACCCTGCCTTTCTCCTTCCACCATGTGGACTTCAGGATTGAACAACCTGTCAGCCAACACCTTTCTCAACTGAACCATCTCACTGACACAATAAAAATACTTAAATTTAAAAAGTATTAAAATTATTTTTTAGTATAGTAAAAATACTTTAATGGCTCTCTCCTACCTCTCTCTTTCTCTCCCTCTCTTTTTTCATTTTTCCATTTTTGTTTATGTGGTATGTAGTGTACATGCTTGCACACGTATGAGAACGTGTATGAGTATGTATGTGCACATTTGCACATGTATGAGTGATACTGGGAATCACCCTTGATCACTCATCTACCTTATTCACTGAGGCAGGATGGCTCAATCAAACCCAGAGCTCTTGGATAGTCAGTACTGACAGCTAGCTTGTCCTGGGCGGGGTTACAGGTGGGCTGCTACACCACCAGGCATTTGTGGCATCTGCAGTTTTGAGGTGGGGACTGTGATACCTGGCAGGCGCTTTAATCACTAACCTCTCCAGACTGCCTTTACTTTGAGACAATGTGGCCCTGACTGGTCTGAAACTCACCGTGTGTGTAACAAGCTGGCACAAGATCCCCAGCCTCTGCCTCTGAGTGCTGGGATTAAAGGTGTGTGACACCGTGCCTGGCTAAAGCACGTATTTTACTAATCACTGTATGTGTGCCCAAGTGAGGGAGCAGAGGACAACTGAGGAGTTGGTACTTTCCTTTCAGCGCTGAGTTCCAGGGAGTTCATGAGGTTGCTGAGCGTGGACTCTTAAGTGCCTATACCTGCCTGACCATCTCACTGGCCCAATCTTGAACTCCTGACTCTCCTGTCTTCACTTCCTAAATGTTAGGATTGCAGGATGTACCCATCAAGTCCAGCCGCATCCCCCACTGACCGTTAGGGTTGCTCTGCTTAGCCCTTAAATCACACTCTGGTCAGACTCTCTTCCTGTTTACCTGGCAAGTCCACACATTCTTCCTGGACGATCAGTTTTAACTGCCACCCCACCCCCACCTCGCCCCGCCCCGCCCAGGGTCTCACTGTGGAGCCCCAGCTGGGCTGTCAAGAAGTACAAGAGCTGACTGAGAACTCGCAGAGGCCCACTACCACTCAAGTCAGCAGTCTCTCCCATCAGGAAGGCACTTCACACCTTCCACCCAAACCACCAAGGATCTTTCTAGAAGTGCAAGTCAAAACGTGCCATTAAGCAAAAAGAAAACCAGACCAAGAGTAACAACACAGTCACTCTGATGCTAACCCTTGCGGGGCTCTCCCCATCCTAGTGGTTATGCTAAATCAGTCTACTGCAGTTCCTGGAAAGAATCAGATTCTAAGAAAGTACAAAATCTAATCCTAACCTTTCTTCCAGACCGAGCTTCAATGTAAACCGTTCTGTCCTCCCAATCCACCATTCTAACTGTACTGCTCCGGGTGACTCAAACCTTACACAGCCACCTTGGTACCTGAGTGGCCGCCTTTTGTTTCTGTCCCTCATTGGAACCCCTCCAGGTCAGGTTACCTGGCTAGCACCCCAGGACAGACCGGGGTATACACAATTACTTGAACCCCCAGGACAGATCGGGGTATAAGCAATTACTTGAAATGCAATTGATAATGAAGGGACTGGCTTAGGGAGCTGAAAGGTCAGGGCAATGGTCAGTTCTGAAGTTTCCGTTTTCTTTTTCTTAAAGAGGAGGATCTCACCTGTTGCCCATGCTAGCTGGCCTCAAGCAATTCTCCTGCCTCAGTTTCCAGAGGCACATGCCACGTCAGGTTCTAAGTGCAGGGTTGCCATTAATGATCAAAGAACTGACTTCACCGTTTTCCACTGCAGTCTCCCTGCGGGACATGTCCCTCAGTTGCCCCAAGCACTGTAAGTCTCTGTGTGTCTAACTGGCTACACACCTTGCCTGTTAGCACTTCTGGTTTAAGGGCCTGTACTTTAGCTTTAGGGTTTCCCAGGGTACCAGACTCCAAGTCCTAGTGACCCATCTATTTGGTATTCTCTTCTTCCTGTCTCCACCCCCGGGGAACGAGGTCCAGGCTGGTATAGAGTGGATGCATAGCCTGGCGTCCTCTGAGTTCCTTACCGTCAGCTCTAGCTCTTGCATCCCTCTGGGTATGGCTGTTGGCTGGGCTCCCTGGGAGAGCAGGTCCGGGATCCATCAGCTGGGCCAAGGGGCCCTGCCCAGCAGCTCTGAGGCTAGGAAGTGGCATCTCGCTGGACTGGGCGCCCTGACAAAGCTGGGTGGACCAGGGTTCTGGGCCAAGGAGGTCCAGGCTTGGCCCCAAGGGCATGGCTGGCAGACTGTGGCTGCATCGAGTGCCTTCATCAAGTGGGCCCGTCCTGTCGTGCTGGGCTTCCTGAATGGGCGAGAAGTCCTGGGAGGAGTCTCCGATGCTCACCCGAAGTGGTGGCGAGCCAGAGCCTGGTGCCGTTTTCTTCCGGCCTTTGGCCAATTCAGCAAAAGAGGTAACTCTCCTGGGTGGGGAAGCAGGCCCAGCTAAGGCTGCAGGGCCCTCACTTAAGCGTACTGGGCAACTTAGCATGCGCTCCAGCGAGCCCAGGCGGACAGTGGGGCTGCGCTCCAGGCTCCGGTCATAGCTTCGAGAGCGCTGCCGGCCAGTGCTTAGGTTGGGGGGTGAAGTATTTGTGTACACTTGCCCTTCGAGTACAGTGGGGCCCATGGCAGTTGCTGCTTCCGTCGAGGAAGCTACTCCTCCTTGTTCCTCGGGCAGGATGTCTGGCTTCTGGAAGAGGTAATACTCAGAGGGCTGGCTGGGGTCTGGCTCCGAGCCAGGGCCTGGTGGAGGACTGATCTTGGTGTGTTCTTCAGAGCAGCTGGTGATGGAAGAGCCAGCAGGGCTTGGGGAGGACTGCGAGGACAGGTCACAGGTGACAAGTTTATAGTAATTTTGTGTGGCCACCACAAGGCGGGCCTGGCTCTGGAAGCAGGCTGTGAGGTCAGCCACAGCCGGGCAGGGCTCACAGTGTGGGCGGTAGGAGTTGCAGTTGGCATCGAGCTCCGGGGACGAGGCATGAGGACAACCACAGCCCTCCTCCCTGTCCCCAGTCTCCGGGTGGTGGGACTCACACGACATTTTCGACTCAGCTGGGGAGGGCTGCAGGTCCAGGTAAAAGGCTCCAGGGTCGGACTGGCTGCAGAAGGAAGAGTCGCTGCAGGACTGAGGGACAGAGTTGAGGGTGGCACGGGAGCTGCCGTGCGTCTTGTTGTAGAGGGTGCTGAAGGTGACGAGCACACCGTCTGAGCTGTTGCAGGACGAGTCACTGGCGTAGCCCATGGACTGGTCGGCAGCCTCGGACTGACTGGAGGCGCTGCTGCAATGGCAGCGCTGAGCCCCCGAGCCCGAGCGCCCAGGGTTTCTTGGGGATTCGTCTGAACTGAGCTTCCACTCTTGTTCCAAGGAAAAGGCAGAGGTATCACTGGCTCCCTCTCCGCTGCCACTCCCACCGGGTCCCCCACACTCGTCCAGCTCCATGGTCTCAGAGTCCGGCTCTGGCTGGAAGCAGGGGCTGGTGCTGCCCTGCTGGGTCCCCAAGGCTGCTGCTGGCTCCCGTTCCTGCCCCTCCACCACGCCAGGCCGACTGCGTGTTGCGCCCCACGGCCTGCGCAGGCCAGGGCCCGATGATGGCAGCTGGAAAGAAGACAGATGGAAGGTGGGCTGGCTGGAGCTGTGCAGGTGGAAGGACTGCTGGGTGGCACTCTCTCCAGGGTTGTCGTCACACAGGTCACCAAGTCCTGTTTCACCCACACCTTCCTGCACCAAGAAGGGATTGTGTCGTTTGGAAGCTCCAGGGCCGCGGCCATCCCGACCCCTACTCTTGATGCTGTCTGAAGACCGTGTAGATGCCCCCGGGGCAGAGTGCAGACTGTTGTATAGCAGGGAGTCAGCTTGTCCCAGGCCCAGCTCGGGTGGGCAGAAGGGCTGGGGTCTTGTGCTCCCGCTGCCTCCGCTTGCCACCCCGCAGCCCTGCCTGTCTGGGACTTGACAGTGCACTAAAGGGATATGGTGGACGATGAGGGTCTCTCCAGTCAGCTTTGGGGGGCTATCCATTCTGGAAAGTTCCAACAAGGGCATCAACAGCACCAGACACTGCCTTGGGAGCCCAGTGGGGCAGAAAACATTTCATCAGGAGAGCTTGGCACCTGGAGAGAGGAAGAGAAAGGGAACCTAACGTCACCTCCCTGGAAATCAGGGGCAGGCCTTTCCCCAGATTATTTTCAGATGAACGAGAGTCCAAGAGGAATAAAGGCTCTGGGTCAGGTGGGGTTCTGACAGCCCGGGCCCAGCAACAGAGAGGGCGCTACCACAGACTCTGCCTTGCGCGGGTCCAGGTCCTGGGCCCCTGTCCATTTTAAGGTCACTGTGTGTTCAACTGTAACAAAAGGCCAGGACTCTTTTAATGACACATATGAAGGTATGGGGAACTCAGGGACAACATGTTCCTCCCTCTTTATGAAAAAATTAGCTTTATTTAGTTAGAGAGAATGTGTGGTTGTGTGTGTGCCACAGCATGTGTGCGGAGGTCAGAGGACAACCTGTGGAAGTCTGTTCTCTCCTATCATGTGAACTCAGGGAGTGAACTCGTAGGAAGTGTCGTTACCAGCTGAGACCTCTCAGGGTTCCCATTCTCTTCTAAGCAGTAAATATCGACAAATCACACAGACACACACACAGAGATACACACATACACATAAACACTCACAAATATACACGCATACATGGACAGACATAGATGCACACACAGACACAGACACACATAGACATAGACACACACATGCACGTACACACAGACACACGCACAGACAGAGACAGAGACATGATGTGGGATTCCCCTCTGTATACTGTGAATATTTTTTTTTACTACCATTGGTTAATAAAAGAAGCTGCTTCAGCCTATAGCAGGGCAAAATATAGCCAGGCTGGAAGAGATCTATAAAAAGAGAGTAGGCGGAGTCAGAAGCTGCCAGGAAAAAGATGTGAGCTACCAGCTGGAACCTTTCTAGTAAGCCAAAATCCTCATGGTAATATATAAAATAATAGAAATGGGTTAAGATGTAAGAGCTAGCTAGAAATATGCTTAAGCTATTGGCCAAACAGTATTATAATTAATATAGTTTCAGTTTATAGTCGGGCAGTGGTGACACACACCTTTAATCCCAACACCTGGGAGACAGAGGTAGGTGGATCTCTGTGAGTTCGAGACCAGCCTGGTCTACAAGAGCTAGTTCCAGGACAGGTTCAAAACTACAGCGAAACTTTGTCTCCAAAAACAAAAACAAAACAAATGTCTGTGTGTGTATATATAATTTCAGTATGATTATTTTGGGTCTAGGCAGCCCGGAAATGAACAAACAGCATCCAACAGAGACAGGCATGTACACACATTCACATACACATGTGCACACAGGCTCAGACACGCATGCACACACAGAACAGAGACATACATACACATGTAGACATAGATACACATATGCACACACAGACATAGACACACACATGCACACACAGAATATGCATACACATGTAGACACAGACATATGCACAGACATACAGACATGTACACACACAGACATGCACACACAGACATATGCACACACAGACACAGACACACACACAGATATACATATACACACACAGATATACATATACACGCACACACAGATATACACACGGACACATATATGCACACATACGTACACAGAGATACACACACATGTAGATACATATGCATACGCATGGGCACACATATGCACACAGAGATATACACATATGTAGGCACACACATACACATGGACATATATATGCACACATACAGAAATATGTACACACAGATATACACACATGTAGATACACACGCATACACACGGACACACATATGCACAGACATACAGACACGCACAGACATATGCACACACAGAGATATACACACATGTAGATACACACACATACACACGGACACACATATGCACAGACATACAGACACGCACAGACACGCGCACACCTGCACACCATGCGGGATGTCTGGAGAGCACAAGGCACCCAGGAAAGGACAGCAAGGCCTGCACGGCTACAGCACACAAGTTTACATGGAGGAGAAAAACTGGACAGAGATCATATGCTCACAGAAATCAGTGGTATTTTACAAGAAATGTATTTTAGAACACTAAACCAGTTGACCAAAGACTACCAGAGCAGACCCTTTCTCCCCCCTGACGACGGTGGGCTACAGACTCTTCCTGTTCTAATACTGCCATGGAGCTTCATGCACACACACAGGTGGGGGACAGAAGGTGACCTCACCCTCTTCTACACGCGCTGCACCAGCCAACCACACTCTTACACCAAACCTGGCAAGCATGGGTCTCATCCAGTCTCGATGCTTGGTTAGGCCAGTGTTTAGAACCTTCAAAGTGCCCCAACTGGCTCTGCTCTCGCAGAGAACCATCACTACTGGGGATCCCCTGGAGTCTCCTCTAGCCAAGTTTTACCTCTGATAAGTTAACGTTCCTTCGGTGGTGAGGTCTCTGGTCTCTTGGCCACCCTGTGGAGGAATGACCTCTCAAACTCTGTCCTGAGCTGTCGGATTCAGGCCCCTCTCTCCTAGACTCCCCACATCTCATTTCCTCTGATCCGTTCATCTCTCTCCTCTCCCTTTGATTCCTATTCCCCTTTGGTATTCTGGCTCTAAATCCCTTGTTTATTTTCTCTTGCTTAATCATTTAACTGAACCCTTGATGCCACCATTATCTTAAATTTTAACTAATTTATGCCAAAGGGCCAAGCTCTTCATGTGGAATACAGTAAGGGCATAAAGAAAATTAATCAAAGGAAAAATGCCAATGACCAATAACTATATGCATGAGGGACAATTATAGAAAGTTTTAATTAAATATGATTATATATTAAATTATGTATGCTAAATCACATTAAAATGAAGACTTCTAAGAGGAACTCTCCTGTATTGGATTTGTAAGCCCTATTGTGTTGAGTACAATCATCAACATGGATGTGGAAAAGCAAAAACTAGAGAAGGCAGACTAAGTTACAAGATTAAGAGTTATAGAAAAAATAAGAATAAAAAAATCTTTTTTGAGACAGGGTCTCATGTATTACAGGCTGGCCTCCAAATCCATATCTAGTCAAGGATGACCCTGAATTCCTGGTCTTACTGCCCATGTGCTGGGATTATAAGCAGGTACCACCATGCCCAGTTTCTATGGTGCTAAAGGCCTTTACCCAGGTCTTCATGGATGCTAAGCAAGCATGACCACCTGGGCTGCAGTCTCAACTCAATAGGAAACCTAAAGGTGATGGTTTCTTACCTAACCCAAGATCCTCCTGCTTCAAAGGAAACCACTAAAAAAGTGAGAAGTGAGCCAGAAGGGAGGTCAGGTAGGAAGGTGCTTGCATTGTGAGCATGGGGACCTGAGTCTGAGCCCCAGAATCTGTATTGGAAAGCAAGGCACCCAGCTGTAAACCCACCACTAAAGACAGGAAACGGCTTAGGACTCTCTGTGAGCCAGACTTGCTGATGTGGTAAACCTCACACCACGGAGAGGGCCTGGCTCAGAAAACAAGGTCCTGAGGAATGACCCCTGGGACTGACTTCTGGCCTATGTGTGCTCACTCAGTCACACAAAAGTGAAGAGCCAACCCATAGAATGGGAAGAACCCTTTTCAGATCATACTTCTGACAGTGGTTTCTAATAAAAATTTACAAAGAACTCTAACATTTTTTTTTTATTTTATTTTAAGACAGGGCCTCACTACCTCTGACTAGCCTTGACTCAAGGTGTCTAAACTCACAGAGATCTACCTGCCTTTGTCCACAGAGAACTGGGATTAAAAGTGTGTGCTACCATGGCCAGCACTGAATAGATATTTCTCTAAAGAAGACCTATGTGTGGTTAGCAAGATGAAGAGATGGGCAATATCATTAGTCATTAAGAAAATAAGAACCCCAGTGAGATACCAGTGCACTCCCACCAGGATGCCCAAACCAAAACACATAGGCAACAAGTATTGATGGAGACATGGAGAACGAGCACCCACCCACTGCTGAGGGCTCAGTAAAATGGCGCAGGCCCTTGGGGAAACTGTCAAACAGGCCCTCAGAACGTTACATACATTTCCCCACTTCTAGGATTACACTCAAAGGGCAGGAGAGCACACTCACACAGAAGCTGGGAATGTCACAGCCGCGTTGTTCACAGTAACCCAGAGGGTGGTCGGGCTCCAAGACAGCTGATGAATGGAAAAGAAAGATGTAATCTGCCTCCCGTCATTTATAACCCAGCTAAAAAATAGAAACAATGTGGTACGCACACAATGGACCATCGGGCAACAAGAGGAGCGGAGCACTAGGACATGCTACGACACGGATGGGCCTTTAAAGGTAATACTGCCTCCACTGCCCATGTGCTGGGATTATAAGCAGGTACCACCATGCCCAGTTTATATGGTGCTAAGGCCTTTATCCAGGTCTTCATGGATGCTAAGCAAGCATGACCACCTGGTCAGAGACCAGAACAGGAAACCAAGTGACGGAAGGTAGGTTAGGAATCTGTAAGGGCCGGCAGATGGGAAGCAACTGCTTCATGGCAAAGTGGGGGTCTCTGTGGGGTGGTGAAAGTATATTGCTATCAGACAGTGGTAATGGTTACTCATTATATAGTGGTGAACATACTGGTGTGATGGTTTGAAAAAAATGCCCCCCAAAGGGAGTAGCACCATTAGGAGGTGTGGCTTTGTTGGAGGGAGCATGCTACTGTGGAGGCCAGCTTTGAGGTCTCCTGTATGCTTCACTTCCTGTTGCCTGCAGATCAAGATGTAGGACTCTTGGCTCCTTCTCCAGCACCATGTCTGTCTGTGCACTGCCATGTCCCTCCATGATGATAATGGACTGAATCTCTGAACTGCAAGCCACCCAATCAAATATTTTCCTTTTTTTTTTTTTTTTTTTGGTTTTTTTTCCTTTATAAGAGTTGTTGTGGTCATGGTATTGCTTCACAGCAATAAAAACCCCAACTAAGACTGACGTGGGATTCCCCTTTGTATGCTGTGATTACCACTGGATAAATAAAGAAACTGCTTTGAGCCTATAGCAGAGCAGGGCAGAACAGAGCTAGGTGGGAAAAACTAA